AGTTGCACTTGTGTCCTTTTACTTTACATAGACGGGAGTTGTATAGCACCTAGAGATAATAGAAGACATTCAGGTTTGATCCAAAGAGGGAAAGCACAGGTCCAGTTCCTTATATGAAGAAACCCTTACCGAAATCAAGGATTATTGTTATATTGTTATTATTATTATAATCAAAAAGAAGCGCTAAGCCACAAGGGCTATACAGCATTATTGTTATAATCAAGGGGGAAGCGCTAAACCTGTAGGATTATACAGCGCCTGTGGGGGGAGGGATGTGGTAGGTATTCAGGCTTAATTCGGGGAACTGGACCACAGATCCAATTTCCTAGATCAAGAGCCCCTTACCAGTGTCAAGGAACCTTCCTTGAGGGGCTGAAATCAAGGAACCTCTCGAGGAGTTACTTAGTGAAGGGAAGGAGTGTGTAAGAGTAGGGGTTAGTGGGGGCAAGGAAGTGAAAAAAAAAATCTACATCAAAGTTGGTACAATAGGTTAGTTTCGGATAAAAGTCAGAGAACCTGCGTCAACTGTGAGACTTTCAGCAGTCATGTTATTATAATAATCATGGGGGAGCGCTAAACCTATAGGATTATACAGCGCATGTGGGGGGGATGTGGAAAGTATTCAGGCTTAATGCAGGGAACTGGAGCACAGATCTAATTCCCTAGATCAAGAGCCCCTCACCAGCATCAAGGAACCTTCCTTGAGGGGCAGGGAACCAGAGCACAGATCCAACTCCCTAGATCAAGAACCCCTCACCAGCATCAAGGAAGGGTAAGTCAGTGTTGGGGCAGCGGAGACGTCGGAAGTGAATCCTGAGTGCCCGTTAATAAGACAGGACAATCTATTAAAATATGGTTAGCTGACAGTGTGACCCGATAGTCCTTGCAGAGCAGTGCCATGCATTTTTCCATAAGGTATCCATGTGAGAGAGGAGCGTGTAGCCAATACATAAGTGGAAGAGTGCTGTCTCGTGAACACAACAGCAGTGGTGGAGGTGGACAGAATCCTATATGTACGTGGTTTAACAGAAAACAATTTGTTGTGGTACAACTCGAACCAACATTGTTACTTCCAGATGTCATGGAGCTGTCGAGAGATCATTGAAAAACAGTCCAAGAAAGGAATACCCAGGGGAAATTGGGAGGTCATTAACAAGTGGCCGAGCAGCTTGTTGATTGGCCCAAACATTGACGTGTCTGGGGACTCGGGGAAAAAAAAAAAAAAAAAAACTATTCACTAGAAATGAGACAAAAACCAAAGTTGTACATGAAGGGATGAGGGAAGTTGAATTTCTGTGTATAGCCTGCAATGCACTGTAGAAATCCTAAAGAACTGTTAAGGGTAAGGCAGACCGATGCAATGTTAATGACAGTAGTGAGACTTGTATGTAAATTTACTGTGAAAACACTGGCCGATTTCAGTAAATGACTTCTGACAGTTTCTCAGGAAAAACTACTACATAACAAATACCATCAGTATATACACTGCAATATGAGAATAGGGTATTATAATCAAAGAAGCTTTAAACCCACTAGGGTCATAGAGTACTGCATATGAGAATGGAAATATACAATAGAGAAGCTACAGTAGCTGAGGTGTCAAGCATGCTATTCATGTGGAACTGTATTATTATAATCAAGGGGGAAACGCTAAACCCAGAGGATTATACAGCACCTGGGGGGAGGGATGTGGAAGGCATTCAGGCTTAATTCGGGGAACTGGAGCACAAATCCAATTCCCTAAATCAAGAGCCCCTCACCAACATCAAGGAACCTTCCTTGAGGGGTGTGGAACTGTAGAACCCATACGATTTCTACAGTTTCTGGTAGATTATTACATTCAAGGGAAAGAAGTAAACCCATTAGTGACAGTGCCTTAGATAATGGGAGGCAATCAGGTTGGGACCAAGGGAGATTAGATACAATTCCTTGGATCACGAGGCCCTTGGGCTGGATTACAATCCCTCTTCCCTTTGTCTAGGAGCTGAAGTTCGCAAGAGTGAAATATCCTTAAATAATGAGGCCAAAAGGAGAGGGGTGTAACTAAATTTGATCCAAGAAAGAGACAAGCAGTTCAGTTTCTTGGGTCAAGAACTCTTCACCATGCTAAGGAAACCCCGTCCTCCTGAAGGAAAGGGTCTAGTAGTAATTCGAGAATGATAGACAATCAGATTTGGTCCAGGAACAAGGTTACTTCAATTCTGTGGATCATAACCCTTTCACTATACCCCCCGAAATGTTGTAAAACTACGTATATGAAATTATTATAATCAAAACAAAGCATTAAACCACCAGGGTCATACAGCACTGCAGGGTAGGCGTTGTAAGGTCGGTGAAGAGTGCAAAAGGAAGTACAATCAGAGGTTGTGTAATAAATTTGTTGCTGTCAAAAATCAAAGAGGGAGTGTGTCAAAGGTGGGGCTGTCAGCGAGGATGGAAGATAAAGCAAGAACGTTAGAGGTGGCGACATTGAAAGTAAATTCTAAGTGCTCGCTAATAGCCTGGACAGTCCAATAAAATAGGGCAAACTGAAATTGGAACCTGACAATTCACACACTGGATTATTATAATCAAAATGAAGTGCTAAACCCAGAAGGGTCATACACCACTGCTGGGCTGGGAAGGATGCAGGGGTAATGGGTAGCAAGAGAGAGGGATGATTATTAGGGCATGGAGTGCAGTTGGGCAGTGGATACTGCAGGGGTAGAGGGTAGCAAGAGATTGAGGTAGAAAGGGCCACGAGGAGTACTAGAGGCATCATCATCAGAGTTGGTGCAGTAAATCAGTTGCTGTCAAAAAGTCAATGAGAGTGTGGATTAAAAGAGTCCATCAGCAAGAAGGGAAGGTAAAGTAAGGGCAGTAGAGCGGTGACACCGTTAAGGGTAAATTCCGTGTGCTCGTTGATAGAGTGGGCAGTCCAACAGAATCACACAGTGGAATGGGCACCTCTCCATGAGTGAGATGTGTGCTAGATGTGAAGAAGGGAAAGCATAATCTCCCAGCCACATCACTGATAAGAAGACAAGGTTCCTAAACCTGGCTTGATAGCATAACTTGTTATGAATCAATTCAGACATTCACTACCATTAGGTTGTGAAGGTGGCTACAGATTACAGCAAAATAATCTGAGAATGGAATACCTCTACAGTATGCGAGACTGGAAGGTCGTGTATCGCTAATCGCTCAGCAGTCTGCCTGCTTGTGCCTTGAACATCAACAACCCAGGTACCCCACGGAAAACTATTTCTTTGTTTTCCTAGAAATGTGGCACAAATAAAGTTGTGTATGAAGAACTAAGGGATGAGGTGACAAATTTTTTGTGGTAGCCTGAGCTTACCACAAATGACGAGGCATGGAGGCAATATGGATAATTGCCATGAGAACTGCATACAGTTCAGCTGTGAAGGTGTTAGCCAAGTCTAATAAATAACCTCATACAACACAGTCTCGGAACACTGCTGCAAACCCGACACCATCAGGATTTAGAACCATCAGCGTAAACTGCAGTGGCCTGAGAAAGAGACCAGAAGTGCTTTAAGAACAAGGGCGTGAGAAGCCACTGTAGGTATTTGAGCTTACACACAGCAGTGGGGAAGAACACAGACAAACTATCAGAACCTCCCAAGGGAAAAGAGACGAGTTTGATGCAAGATGTATGTATAAAAGGGATGGGGGAGCAGCTGAAGAGAAGTCAAGAGCAAATGAAGATGGAGCAAACAGGAGTGGAGAACAAATAATGGACCTCTTCTAACAACCGTTACCATCCTGTTGACAGCATTCTGGAGTGAGGATGCTGCTAGGTGACAGACAGTGCCTGCACAGGGTATAGCAAAGCCATCATCAAAGTAATGACCAAATATTAGATGGGAGAACAGAGGCCAGATCACTTATGGCAAGGAGAAAAAACAAAAAAAGCGTGGTGCTAAGGACACATCCCTGTGGGACACCTTCAGCTTGGACAAAGGCCAGGGAGAGCAAATGTGTATATGAAGTTATATTCACAAGAAATCCCTAAACCCATATGGGTGATGCAGTCAAAGATGAGAGGTACTGATGGGCTAAAAGAGTAAGGTGCTATATTTTCATGAGGAATTCCTAAACTTGTTGGGGTTATGCAGTGCCTTGAAGTTATTAGGTTTTATTTAAGGAAAAGGAGTATGGCCCCAGTTCCTTATTGCCACCGACCTTCACCAGCATCAAGGTCAAAGTTGTTACTTCCAATCAAGATAGCTATTAGTGGGAGAAATGGCAGATATAAACTGCCAGTGATCCTCCATAGGACATTCAGAACTAAGGATCAACAATTGTTGAAATACTTATCACTTAAATGAGTAACAGTAATCGCTAGTGTCGTTTGCACAAGTAGAATATCAGGTAAGTGCTCTACGTATCAACTGGACTACATGCTTATTAAGCTTCAACAATATTGTTTCATTCACTAAGCACTACATTCATAATGGTCATAGAGCACCTGGAAAATAGAAAGTAATAACTTTGATCCAAGGGGAAAGCAGCTCCAATTCCTTGAATCAAGAGCCCTTTCAAAAGCAGCAAGGAACCCCTTAAAGGACATATTCATGGAAAGCACTAAATTGAATTATAAAACGTGCTAAACCCCAATGGGACATGCAGCATCGGGCAAATGAGAGGTAATTGAGATTGACCCAAGGAAAGAATTAGACAGCAGGAGCATCAGGTAGGTGGAAGTAGTGACTATTGAAAACTCAGGTAGACTGGGAACACTTAAGTCTTAAAAAAAAAAAAAAAAAAAAAAAGGGGGGGGGGGGGGGGGGGGGGGGCGACGACTAACAGTACTGATCTGCTACTTCATGAATAAGCAAACCACCAACCCTGTAGCAGCAGCTCTGATATTAGGACAGTGTGAAGAGCCATTCTCACATTGTCTGAAACAAAGGACAAAAATCAACAAGAAAACCATAAAGTATCCTTATGAAGGATACCTAATAAAATGTAGTTATAAAGGATAATCATACACTTAATTAAGGTGAATCTTTTTACATATTATTACTTATGATTGATTTATTAACAGAAGTACAGATTGTGTCTGGCTAAAAAGTGTCCGTGAAGCAATGGTACAGGTTAGACCATAACACTCACTCATTACGTTGCTCACCTATGTTGCAATAAAGCATGTTCTGTAAAACTTTTAATATGGACACCCGTAAAATATAACTAAATATATCAACTGTACAGAATATGAAAGGCTAGAAATATAGGGGAGGGCTAAAAGGAAAACTTTACCTAGTGGCAGATCCCTCCCTTATAATGGTAGTGCATGTAGTGCCCCTCTGTTCTGGCTCCCCAATACAGCTCACATGCAGGTAGCTGTTGATTAGCCAATCTTACCATTTAGTCTGCATCTACTCAATCTCATCATGGGAGGCACCAGGGATGTTAACTGCCATTTATTCATCCAACAGTGGGGATGCAGCTGCTTGTGGCTGAATATTACTTATATACAAAATAATTTCGTATGGAGTGCACCGATAAAGAATTAAATAAAAAGTTTCCAAAGTCAGATACTTTGTTAATGATGACCACAATAAGTCAACATCCCTTTAAAGTGAGGCAACAGTTACACTTAACCATTCACAGTTGTCAAATCCTGTAACAGCATGGGTCATGTATAGTACAAAATATTCATCTAACAATATACACTGCATTGATTTACATACTTCATCACTAAATATAATTCTTTTATTTAATGATTCAGTACCAGATAATGAATAAATTATAAAATGAAGATCACTGTTTAAGAAGCAATCACAAAAGTTTAAGGTGAATTTCTGCCCACAACTGTACAATTCTCATGCTGCATAATAAGTGTGTTGAAGGATTACTTGACTGATCCATTACGAGTGAATACCAAAGTGCAACTGGTGCCTGGTACAAAATGGATCACTGCCGGAGTAGTATCACAGTCACAGTGCAGAAGGAAACTTGTGGGTGGTGGTGGTGGTGGTGATGGTGGCAGCGGCAGTAGTGGTGGTGGTGGTGATGTGCTGGTGTGATGTCCTCCATATTCATCGATGCAGTGCTCCCAGCCCTCTAACCTACCATAAACTTTTTTTTTTATAAATATAAATATATACTGCATATTTATAAGATATACAACTGGACTTTTTGAGACAAACATAGTAGCGTGCACATTTTTATACACAAGTTTTAAAAAACATGAAGCTATTACAAATAAATAACCATATTACAGCAGTAAAATTTTGCTCATTTATTTTACCATGCTCAACCATAAAAAAAAAAGTACAAAAACTATTATATTGCAACAAAACTACCCTTTCAGTTGCATAGGAATTCATTATGGTTAACAGTCACATATTGCAATAACTCATAAAACCAGCTAACAAAAAATTCAAGGTACAATAAGCCTTGGTAATAGATACTGAGAATTGGTTTAAAAAGACACGCAAACAAACACTAGGTCACATTATTAGTACGAATGAGGTTTTTGAGATGGCATCAAGTAGCCCAGGGGTCACCTGATTCCTATGTTTTGAGGTGGGAGGGGCTTCACCTTTCAAATATCATGTATATCTGAGTTTTTTATGGGTTTAAACTTTCCAGCTTTTTGTTCCATTGTCTCTGATGGCAATAATTGATTTCAGTGATGGTGAGCTATGCTTCTTACCAACTCATCAACTGTCCTGTTGGGTTTACTATGGGAGGACATTGGTGTTGCTTAAGTCATCCCTGTTGCAGGTGCATTGATGTTCACTAAAGTGGATATGTAGACTTCTGCCTCTCCCCCTACATATTTCTTGAAAATGTGTCTCCACAGATAATGGTGTAGATGCCTACCATGGAAGTAAGAGGTGTAGGATTCTTTGTAGTGAGATGTTGATGGAGGATAATAATAATAATAATAATAAAAAAAAAAAAGGGGGTGGGGGGGGATGAAGACATGCGAAGGATACCTAGTTTGGTGCATCATTATGTGAATAGCAGTGTACAAGATCATCCCTTTTTGGTGGGTCTTCTATACACTTCATAAATAAGGGTGCAGCTGTCAAGAGACCTGCACAAGACATCCGGAAAAGGTAATCTGGCCTCTTTTTTGGGTTCCAATGTGAACTTTATAAATGGCTTGATAGTATCAAGGTAACTGATACAAGCAAAAACTTGGGATGGCACTAAGCAACCCTTTCAATGCTGAGCTTGCTAATTCGTGGAGAACTTGGAGACTGAGAAATTCAGCACCCTAACTGCTAACACTGCTTCCTTGCTAAGGTATGTTGGTATTCTGTCATAGATGTTTTAATATTCAGGCCCTTCTCAACAAGGTCAAAACTGAGAAGCTAGCTATATAGCTCCCACTGGAACCCCACAGAAATTAGCCAGACTACCTTTCCTCAATGTTTTACTGAGCAGTTCACCCAACAGCAACAACCTTCCTTTCAAAGTGTACATGAAACCTACTAAAAAGGATTTTATACACTTCTATTTGCACAATGACACTGCACCAAAAGCAGTGTCCTTACTGATTTCTTCTTGAGAGCTAGTCATATCTCTAGCCCTTAGTTATCTTGAGGATTGTATTTACATAACAGAAGACTTAACACTTCTTTCTTTCCCCTTTTCCTTCAACTGGGAATGAAGGTTTAAGGCTGAAGCCATCCTTAAAATCCCCATGGAATATTCCACTTAGCAGTTCTTAGTGCTTCTACAAGGTAATGTTGCCAAGAATACCCAACAGGTACTTATGAGAAACAACATCAATATGGCTTACAACCTCTATCAAGGACCTTGCTACAAGGTATAGTCCTGCATCTTTACACCATTTTCTGTGGACACACACTTCCAAGAAATACGTAGCGAAGACAAGCAGAAGTCTATACATCAACCTGAGTGATCATCGAGGTGCTTGGAACATGGACCTAAATAATACCCATGTCATCCACAGAAATTCTGAGACATTTGACAAGTTGGAAAGAGGCACAACTTGTCACTCAGCCTGGCCTTAGATGTCAAAGGTGCCTGGAAGCTTCCACGATTACCATCATTGATTCCCTGGAACAAAATGCTGGTAGCAACAATATGTCAAAAACACTGATATACATGATACTTGATCAAGTTAAGTCCTGCCTAATTTACAACATTGGTCTCAGGTGATCTCACAGGCTACCTGATGCAATCTCAAAAACTTCACTCGTATTATGCACTTACCTCCGGTCACTAATTGTCTCTCACACCCTACTTTATGTCTATGACATTCTTGACCCTTTGCATGTTAGACGTAATAAAGATCCCAGGACCGAAAAAATTTCTAAAAAATACACGCTAGTGTTGGCTCATGTGTCTTTTTAAATCAAATAATTCGAGCTTGCTAAGCTTCTTTTTAATGTATAGTTATAAAGTAAACACTACCTCATCCTGGATAAAATTAGTGCAAAACATCATTACTTATCTTAAGAAGAATATCATCAAATTTGAAGATATACTTTGTCAATTAAAACATATTTAGTATGTGAAGCTTTTCAAAGAGTATAATAAAAAACCTCAATGACATGTTAAACTGAATGAATTAGTGATATTGCCATTTAGTCACAAGAGATCTTGGGAAGTGAGAATACATCAGCTTACTTAATGCCAAATGGCTGGGTATGACAATACACAAGGTCATAAAGGTTGCGCATGAAGCTTCCCCTAGAATAACACTCAGGAGGGAAAAGTAGTACTGTATATCTCATAGGCTTTGAAACAAGGTAAGAACATACCACTCCAGAAAACACACACCATATACACAAGTCACCAATCAATAAAAGCCGTATGTAACCACTGCCCCTTAACTTTACACGTGGTTCAGGTCACTATTTTCTCATTACAAATACAGGTCCTGTTAAACTTGTTCATCAATAGTACCTTGTAGGACCTGTAACATCAGCTTAGAGTTTGGCAGCAAGGATTTCTGCTTCTTTCAGATCAGTTATGCCTGTGAACTGCAGCTTGCATCACACTTCAGCTGTTCAATGCAATGCACCATATTCATTCACCTCCACTGTTACTACTACTACCTTATCACAGACTTATAAAACAACGTGGCTACAAGTCAAATAATGCCTTCAAGCACATTCAGATACCTAAACCATCTAAAATGTCAGACAACAACCATTAAGAAATGCCTTAATTTTTCTGTAACTTGAATTGTATAGCAATGCTCCACAATGCATATAATAAGGCTCATCCTTGTCGATTCGGCTTTCTCTAAAAATAAATAATAATAATAAAAAACACTAAAGTCTCCGACAATGCCCACTTGTACCACACTTTGGCATATGAAGCACTTATGTCAAGCTTTACTGTCATATACACTGGTACTGTACACAGATATGGACCTTTGGAGTCTTATCACATGATACCTGTCATATGAACATACGACAATCTGGATCACCATGTAGACTTGCACAAGGAGGCTGAAGGTTAGGGGATGACAGACCAACTCCAATCGAGACACAGCACAGAGCAGCAACACCACACACACAGGAACAAGGAAGCCACCACCCACTTCCTGTTTGCCTATTGACTCCAGTTACGATGCTCTCATTCCAGTAACTTGACTTTCAGTTGTATATCTTGATGGCCTTTTCTAGATAGTTGTACCGGGAGCGTTTTGGAGCCTTGTTGACATGTTCCAATCCCAACCATGGTTTTGCAGGTATAGAAGCTGCAAACGTAAGTCCAGTAAATTAATTACAATGATTATGACATTCTTTGAGAAACTTTTCACAAATAACCCGCACTGCATAGAGGAAATTTAGACAATAATTCTCTCATGAATCATTATCTAGTTACAACTAAATAATTGCCAAGGATGGACTGAATCAACATTTAAAGCTTCCTCTCCAAAATATAGGCTGTTTGTGAATTGTTCCAGCCAAGAGATTACAACATGAATTCATCATTAAAGAAACTGGTTTACACATTCCATGTTACTAATTAAAAAAAAAAAAAGGCATAAATCACACTCAGAACACTGGAATAATGATAATTTCAAGTCTAAACCATAACTAATAAGCAATTTACACTATTCCAGTTTAGAAGCAGCATTTCCACAAAATTCATTTAGTAGTGGAACATTAAAGTTATGAGCTATGAATATTACAAATTAAAATATACCATATAATTAAATATTGTATTGCAAAAGGCCATTTTATTCTCATACAAAGTAATGGAGAGATAGATTGCGTATTTTTATACGTATATACTTCTAAACTTTTGTATTCTGGGCACCTCTGCAAAAACAGTGATTATGTGTGAGTAAGGTGAAAGTGTTGAATGATGATGAAAGTACTTTCTTTTTGGGAATTTTCTTTCTCTTTGGGTCACCCTGCCTCGGTGGGAGACGGCCGACTTGTTGGGGAAAAAAAAAAAGTAATGCATAAAATATACAAACGCTCAGTGGAAATTGCTAAATATTAATTCTGTAACAAGTTATGTTTCTGATGTATAGTGATTCCCCACTTAAATTTTCACTTGCCAGAATTCTGAATAACAATCACCCCCAAAAATCCAAGGACCCTTTCTCCATTTAACAACCGGATCCATCTTTTTTAAAATCAGATTTGCTGGATGCAAATTTTTTACCTCAATCAGTGGCCATCCTTGAACAAAAGTCAGACATAACTAACAAATGAAGAGTTATGGACTTTGGCAAGTATACTTTTTAATTCTTAAATTTAAGAAAAATTTATACTATATGGGAAACTGTCCATGTCTATTTTTTGAGACTGCATCAGGGCCACCTCAAGAGCTTTTATGGAAAAAAAAGAGAGAACTGTTGTCCAGAGGGCTGAGGAAGGGTTGTTGAGGTGGTTTGGACATGTAGAGAGAATGGAGCGAAACAGAGTGACTTCAAGAGTGTATCAGTCTGTAGTGGAAGGAAGGCGGGGTAGGGGTCGGCCTAGGAAAGGTTGGAGAGAGGGGTAAAGGAGGTTTTGTGTGCGAGGGGCTTGGACTTCCAGCAGGCATGCGTGAGCGTGTTTGATAGGAGTGAATGGAGACAAATGGTTTTTAATACTTGACGTGCTGTTGGAGTGTGAGCAAAGTAACATTTATGAAGGGGTTCAGGGAAACCGGCAGGCCGGACTTGAGTCCTGGAGATGGGAAGTACAGTGCCTGCACTCTGAAGGAGTTCTGGCAAGACAGTGATGGAGTGAATGATAGTGAAAGTTTTTCTTTTTCAGGCCACCCTGCCTTGGTGGGAATCGGCCAGTGTGATAATAATAAAATAATAATAAAAATAAGAGAACAGTCTTCTAAACAGAAAAAAAAAAAAAAAAAAAAAAAAAAAACCACTTAATTTTGTGGTGTGTTGAGGTTGGCAAAAGATAATCACCCATCTGTACATATTGTACAGTTAATGATGTTAAATTATGATTGTTTTCCATTTTTTCAATATCTAACAAGAGTTGTGATAGTTTCTCATGCTATTAGACGAGTTTTAAGGTTTTTAGCCTGACACAAACCCACATAGGAAAGTTGCAGTTCGAGGGTAATCTGAACTGTAATGCTAACACACTTTTGGCAAGACAGCGATTAAATGAGTGAGGGTCAATGTGTTTTCTTCTTTGGGTGGGAAAGAAATGGTTGAGCTGGGGCCTAAAATGGTGGCAGGCAGCATATTTCAAGGCATGAAAATTAGGTATACAAGTATCTCATACACAGCTTACGTACTAAGTGAGGGATCAATAAACAAAGTTTTAGAGTAGAGAAAATTTCTGAAAATCCAAAAATGAATATTTTTTTTTCAGCTGAAAAAAAAAAATATTCATTACACTTAACATTAAAACCATACCTATTTATCTGTGAGGACTCTGAAACCACATTGAAAAAGACTTTCCTTAAAACTGTAAAATATCCTATAAAAGGTAATACAGGGGTCATCAAATATTTATACAAATTTTTAATCCCAGAATACTATAAAAATTTGAGCTATTCATAAAAATGCTGCATTATACTCTCATCTGCTCACATTTTAAGATACTTTTCTACATTTTTATATGAGATCTGCATGAAGCTTTATATTAACTATAGTTGATGTGAAAATATTTTATAAATGCTATACAAATAATGTTCACCTAAAAGCCCATAAATGTGAAATATGTCCTTGAAATCATCCTTTGTCAATACTTTTTCAATAAGCTAGAGTAATTATGTCAATCTGTGATGAAATGATAAAAATTAAGTGGCTTACTCTGGTTTGGATGTGGTTTGAAGTCTTGTAGATTAACTATGTCATCATCAGTAAGGAAAGTTGGCCTTCCCATCATAACAATGGCAAAGCGATACTGAAACACAAATTAAGTGTTAAGCTACATATGCAGCTAATGATTCACAAACTTTAATTTATCTACCACTATAACAGATGCTTTTTCTTGACAAGAACTGTTTTATGAAATAGTTAAGGAGTGAAATTTTTTTCTTAACTGCAATAAAATATTCCTACAAACTTAAATGCAAAAGTTTGCTGGCAGAAAATTCTGTGGTACATTCAGTAAACCTTTTCATAATGCATGTGATACATTCCTGAAAAGCAGTGCCCTACCAAAATTAGCATTATGAAGAAAAAAGAATCAGGGAAAATAGCATTATGGACAAATTTACTGAACAACTTTTTTCTTATAATATTCTACTAGACAAAACTTACTGCATTTTACCTCACCTTCCATTCTGTTAGTCATTACTTGAAACATTTGATGAGTTTGGGGAGGATTTAACATGAGTCTATTGGACAAAACTGGATACAGTGAGGTCTATCAGCTGACACACTTGGTACATGTCAACATAAAAACAAAAGCCATGTTTCCTTACCAAACTATGCCAAACATATATTTACTCTCCTCCACACATATACCAAAGAAACAATGCTCTCTTATCAGGCTCCTCTATTTAGTGGTTTTTCATTAATGCAAATGAAAAAGTACATCAAAAACTGACAGAATGTACAGTGAAGGCTTTCCATGAACTGTTGAAGATTAGGACACTTCTGCAACATATGGGAATCTTTACTGAAGAAACGTTTCGCCACACAGTGGCTTCATCAGTCCAATACAAACTCCTCCTCTCCTCACACCTTTCTGCTTTGTAATGAACGGATGAAGCCACTGTGTGGCAAAACGTTTCTTCAATAAGGATTTCCATATGTTGCGTAAGTGTCTCAATCTTCAACTTGTTGGTTTTAAACCATTTATCAATCTTCTACAAGATTGATGGACTGAATACGACTCCAGGCTTAGGGACTGATTACCTCTAACTCCTCCTCTCATTACACCTTTCTGCTTTGTATTAGACTGATGAAGCCAGTGTGTGGCTAAACATTTTTTCAATAAAGATTCCAATATGTGGCATATGTGTCTCAATCTTCAACATGTTGGGTTTAAACCATTTATCACATTTCCATGAACTATTTAATTTTAGATGTACATTTTCCAATGGATTTACAAAAAACTGCACTACACAGATGAGCTGTATAAGAGTTGATTATACAACAGGGCTCAAACATGTTGGTCAGTTGACAGTTAGTTGACAAGAGCTGAAGCTTACCTCTTGTCAGCTCAAATAAGTAATTATGATTTATCTCCCTTTCTTGAAGAGAACAGATAATGAGATCTTGTGCTGCCCTATCATAACACAACCAACCCGCCCCACTGTTTTTATATTGTACAGTTACATACCTGTAAAATGCAAACTAAAATAGTATTGTAATTACAAAAAATCCATGTCCAAAGAAAATATAATAAATTTGAGATAAAAACATTAATGTTTGATATTCAGTTATTATTAGTATGAAAGCATACTTTTATTTTGACAGTTAACTGGCACAAGAAGAGACAAATAAAAAATCTGCATTATCAAATGATGCTATTTTCAGAACATCTTTTATAGCTCTCACCTTTTCGAATTCCTTATCCGGTACATCCAGCCTCTTCTGAATGCGATCTCTGACATGAGAGAACAGCTCGCCCTGTTTTATTTTGAAGAGGAATGGTATACCAAATGTAGAAAATATTTCTTTATGGAAATGCGCAACTGGTATTAACATTTCATCATCTGCGATGTGGAGTTCCTCTGTTGGCAATTCCTCTATTCGATAAGATCTGGTTCCTGCTGTGCTGAGGCTATCCAAGCTCATGCTCTCAGGAGGTGTAGAGGCAATTTTATATGAAGAGATATCTACAAGCCTGAAAGAAAGTTTCTTGAAATGGTTAATTAAAAAAATTCCTTAAATACACATTACTTATGTAATTACTATAATACCACAAAATTATAGAATACGAGTTCCAAGCTTTCACCCATACTCAAAGACTTTCTCGGGAGCTAAAAAAAAAAAAAAAAGAGGAGGAGGAGGAAATAAAGGGGGACTAGGGTTGACCCCAAGAGAATGGGGTACTGTATATAAAACTTTTACCGAACAATTTGCCAAATGCTGAATGCGTAATACTTTTCCCACGTGTTTGATTATACACACGTTGTGTTGTTAAATTATGAACACTACATTATATCATTCATGTTCATATTATTATTTGTATTTATCAAACATATTATTTGTATTTATCAAACAAGACTGTACAAATAAGCCTGTCATGGACAGGGAAGGGGTAAAACATTTTACAAGGTACAATGAGCAATTAGACAACTTAACAAACAATGCACTGGAGTCTGACCCAGTTGAGACTACCTGCAATGACTCTTTTGTAGATTTTCTCCTGCGTGACTACATGAATTTCAACAAATTTTCTTGCAAAGGATATTCGAATAATGGAATGTGCAAATTTAATAATACAGGAACAAATTATGCAATCAATCAAACAAGAATTGAAAATGTTTTCCCAAAACCAGTAGTCAATATCTGGTAAACTTATTGAGTAAATATACCTCCTTCCCAAATGTGATAAACCATATCAAATTCATAAGAACCATTCATGATTTATATTTTGAAAACTCATTTCTAGCATATACACATACAGTGGTCCCTCAATAATCGTAGGGCTCGAGTCGTAGATTTCGGAAATCATAGCGATATTTTCGTATAAACATGGGCTCGCTAATCGTAGATCGACTCGCGAATAGTAGTTCGTCCGGGACGCGCACGCACACTGTGAGCCGGGGCGGCCTCCCTTCCCAGGCAGTGTGGCATTGTTTACCAGCGAGCGACAGTCCCCTCACTTGCTCCTACAAAATATTTCATAATATTCTATTCATTTTAGTGCTTGCAAGTACTAAATAAGCTACCATAGCTCCAAAGAAAGCTCCTAGTGCCAAGCCTTTGGTAAAGAAGGTGAGAAATACGACTGAATTTAAGAAAAACATCATTGAACAATATGAAAGTGGTTAAAGAGACGTCAGAAACAGAGCTCTCTGGACAGTTATTTTGCGAGACAGGACTCCAGTGACTCAAGCTGGTCCTAGTGGCATTAAGAAACAGAGAAGAGAAGTAACCCCAGAAAAGCAATTGGTACCTGAGGTGTTGATGGAAGGGGATTCCCCTTCCAAACTGTAAATAATCCAATCTCTCTCCTCCTCCAGTCTCCCATACACTAAGAAGAACTGCCAATAAAGGTAAGTGTTATGCTGTTAATGTTTCATTCATCATGTTCCATTGTATTGTTTATGTACTACATCTATATTTCATGTAAAAAAAATTTCTGTTTTAATACTTCTGGGTGTCAAGAATGGATTAATTGTATTTACATTATTTCTTATGGGGAAAATTGATTCAAAAATCGTAATTTCGATAATAATAGCACCTCCAGGAATGGATTAAATACGATAAACGAGGGACCACTGTACTTTTTTCTTTAACACAGCCGTCTCCCATCAAAGTAGGGTGACCCAAAAAAGAAGAAACACTTTCACTATCACTATCTTAGTAGAAGTATGCTGTAAAGTAAAAGGACACAAATGCAACTAATATGACATTTTTATTGTGCCAACATTTTGCTCTCCAGGAGCTTTGTCAAGCTTTGTGTCCTTTTACTTTATATACTGTTGGTAATTCTACCAACTTTATTAGAAGTATGCTGATACTACAGTCCAATGCCCCTGCAAACTGCAAATATACCCACTCCTGAGTGTGGGCACTGTACTTCATGCCTCCAGGACTCAGTCCAGCTAACCGGTGTCCCTGAACCCCTTCAAAATATTACTTTCCTCACATTCCAACAGCTTGTCAAATCCCTAAAACAATGTGCCTCCACTCCTATCTAACATGCTAACACACACTTGCTGGCTGTCCAAGCCCCTTGCACAAAAAAAACCTCCTTTACCCCCTCCCTCCAATTTTTCCTAGGGCAACCCCTACCCTGCCTTCCCTCCACCACAGAATTATATACCCTCCAAGTCATCCTCTTTTGCTCCATCCTTTCAATGTCCAAACCACCTCAATAACCCCTCCTCAGCCCTCTGGATAATATTTTTTCATAACCCCCATACCTCCTCATTTTCAAGCTATGAATTCTCTGCATAATGTTTACACCGCACATTGCCCTCGGACACTACATCTCCACTGCCTGAAGCCTCCTCACTGCAACACTCACAACCCATTCTTCATACCCATATAAGTGTGTTGGTACCACTATACTCTCATCCATTCTCCCCTTTGCCTCCATGGATAACATGCTTTGTCTCCACAAATGCCTTGATGCACCATCCACTTCCACCCCCCCATCAATTCATAATGGTTTACCTCATCTTTCATAGATGCATCTGCCGCCATTAATATCTCAACGACTACTGCATTACTCCTGGGGTAATGGTACTTACTGACCACGTGTATACCCAAGGCATGTCACTGCACCATGTCTACAGCTTCATCTTCCCAATCATTTCTTCTTTATCTCTTGTACACCTTGCCTTCATTCTTTTCTACTTAAGACTCCATGTCATCTTGTTTGGCACTGTATAAGCTAATACTTTGAAGAACCATCATTACTGGAATGATCTACTGTTAAAATGGCACTCTGCTTAGAGGCCTTTCAGTAAATCATGGTTACACTACTGGTTTACTCATACTATAACACAACTACACTTAACAAATAATCACACAAAAAAGTATTAACGTGTAGTGCATGTAAACACGATAACTTTTTTTATTTCATGTAGCTCAAAAACTACAATATGAGTACAGTTGCTCAAATGTTTTAACAAGGTTTATAACTATAACACTTCACTATCATCAGTAGCCTAGCAACTTGCTGGCCCAACAGTCTGCATAAATACCTAACAGGAAAAATCTTGGAAAATAAACAAGAGCTTGGAGCTCCACTTTATATTTTTCTGTGAGATCAAGTTAATAACATAAAAAAGTATAATTCAATCCATTATTAATGCTCACCTTAATTTACCAGAACCATTTTCTGCTAAGGTGACCTGCTTTCTTGCTTCATGCAATAGGTCAGCTACTGTTCCATTTTTATTTGGATAGAGTACTAACTCTAGCTCTTCTTTCATTCTTTCCCCAAGCCACATACACTGAAAGGTAAAGAGTCATAATTTTGTGACTTGTAGTGTGGTACATTACTGCAGTAAGATGATATACTGGTAGCCTTATGAATTATGGGATAATGAACTGAAATCAAATCTATTTGGTGAAGCAATGTAAAAAGAGAGCAAATGAGAGAGTGGGTGAGATGTTATCAACAAATTTTGTTGAAAATAAGAAAAAGTTTTGGAGTGAGATTAACAAGTTAAGAAAGCCTAGAGAACAAATGGATTTGTCAGTTAAAAATAGGAGAGGAGCGTTATTAAATGGAGAGTTAGAGGTATTGGGAAGATGGAAGGAATATTTTGAGGAATTGTTAAATGTTGATGAAGATAGGGAAGCTGTGATTTCGTGTATAGGGCAAGGAGGAATAACATCTTGTGGGGTTTGAGGAAGAGCCATTGTGAGTGTGGGGGAAGTTCGTGAGGCAGTAGGTAAAATGAAAGGGGGAAAAGGCAGCCGGGATTGAATGGGATAAAGATAGAAATGTTAAAAGCAGGTGGGGGTATAGTTTTGGAGTGGTTGGTGCAATTATTAATAAATGTATGGAAGAGGGTAAGGTACCTAGGGATTGGGAGAGAGCATGCATAGTTCCTTTGTATAAAGGCAAGGGATAAAAGAGAGTGCAAAAATTATAGGGGATAAGTCTGTTGAGTGTACTGGTAAAGTGTATGGTAGAGTTATAATTGAAAGAAAATTAAGAGTAAAAGACGGGGAATAGGATGCAGATGAACAAGGAGGCTTTAGGAAAGGTAGGGGGGGTGTGGACCAGGGGTTTACAGTGAAACATATAAGTGAACAGTATTTAGATAAGCTAAAGAGGTCTTTGTGGCATTTATGGATTTGGAAAAGGCTATGACAGGGTGGATAGGGGGGCAATGGGCAGATGTTGCAAGTTATGGTGTAGGAGGTAGGTTACTGAAAGCAGTGAAGAGTTTTTAACGAGGATAGTGAGGTCTCAAGTTAGAGTATGTAGGAAAGAGGGAAATTTTTCCCAGTAAAAGTAGGCCTTAGACAAAAGGGTGTGCGATGTCACCGTGGTTGTTTAAAATATTTATGATGGGGTTGTAAGAGAATAAATGCGAGGGGCTTGGCAAGAGGCGTGGAGTTAAAAGATAAAGAATCACACACAAAGTGGGAGTTGTCACAGCTGCTCTTTGCTGATGACACTGTGCTCTTGGGAGATTCTGAAGAGAAGTTGCAGAGATTGGTGGGTGAATTTGGGAGGGTGTGCAAAAGAAAAAATTAAAGGTGAATACAGGAAAGAGTAAGGTTATGAGGATAAAAAAAAGATTAGGTGATGAAAGATTTAAAATCAGATTGGAGGGAGAGAGTATGGAGGAGGTGAACGTATTCAGATATTTGGGAGTGGACGTGTCAGCGGATGGTCTATGAAAGATGAGGTGAATCATAGAATTGATGAGGGAAAAAGAGTGAGTGGGGCACTTAGGAGTCTGTGGAGACAAAGAACTTTGTCCTTGGAGGCAAAGGGGAATGTAAGAGAGTAAAGTTTTACCAACGCTCTTATATGGGTGTGAAGCTGGGTGATGAATGTTGCAGCGAGGAGAAGGCTGGAGGCATGGAGATGTCATGTCTGAGGGCAATGTGTGGTGTGAATATAATGCAGAGAATTCGTAGTTTGGAAGTTAGGAGGAGGTGCGGGATTACCAAAACTGTTGTCCAGAGGGCTGAGGAAGGGTTGTTGAGGTGGTTCGGACATGTAGAGAGAATGGGCGAAACAGAATGACTTCAAGAGTGTAATCAGTCTGTAGTGGAAGGAAGGCGGGTAGGGGTCGGCCTAGAAGGGTTGGAGGGAGGGGTAAAGGAGGTTTTGTGTGCGAGGGGCTTGGACTTCCAGCAGGCATGCTGAGCGTGTTTGATAGGAGTGAATGGAGACAATGGTTTTTAATACTTGACGTGCTGTTGGAGTGTGAGCAAAGTAACATTTATGAAGGGATTCAGGGAAACCGGCAGGCCGGACTTGAGTCCTGGAGATGGGAAGTACAGTGCCTGCACTCTGAAGGAGGGGTGTTAATGTTGCAGTTTAAAAACTGTAGTGTAAAGCACCCTTCTGGCAAGACAGTGATGGAGTGAATGATGGTGAAAGTTTTTCTTTTTCGGGCCACCCTGCCTTGGTGGGAATCGGCCAGTGTGATAATAAAAAAAAAAAAAATAATAAAAAAAAAAAACCAACACAGACAAGAACCAAATTAACACAACTGTAGTTAGTTTTAAAGATTTTTAGACAAATATGTCTTTGTTAAATCTAACGAAAACCTTTATGGAGAAAAAGATGTAAAATCAATTTATTAGTCGAGGCATAAAGATATTAAAAGATCAAAAGATGATTTCTACTCAGATAACATTTATTGCACTGGAGATATAAAATAACTGCTGTATATGCACCTAGCTAAGGGGTGCTAATATTAAGCAGTTTCTTTTCCAGACATTTTAAATGCCTTCAAATACTGAGCGACCTTGAATTTTCACCCAGACTGTGAGGGCAGTGATCCCCAATGAAAAATTTATACGGAAACCTCTTGTTTGCAGTTACAAAACTGTGGAAAAAGAAAGTAGCTTGTCATCAACAAGAAAATACAAATGAGAAAGTAGGAGTAGAGAAATATGAAAACCAGAAGCAAAATGAAGAAGTGGTGGATAAAAAAATGGTGGAATAGAAAAGCAATTAATAATGAATAATTTTGACATACAGACTGTGGAAAAACCTCACCAGTATTTTCCAAATATAAATTATGATATGCAATATCTTTCTTCTCTGGTGTATGCAGAAATGATAAGGGAAATAAATGCTGATAACATAATGGAGAAAGCTCTATCATAAAGAATAAAATTATAATGAATGTTAAAAGTATTCAGTATGTCTGTAGAGGTTTTGATTCTTTTTTTCTTATTCAATGCCATGAAATTTAAGATAAAATTTGAAAGCTTTTTTACTTCTGCTGGTTGTTACTCATTTGCTTATGGCTGTGCTTAATAAGACAGTAGAGTTTATGTAAATATAAGTTGCAAACTGATTTTGCCATCATTTTCCTACCTTTATAGTGCATTATAAAACTGTCTTGACTGCAAAATTTTATTCATGTTACTGAGACATCTTTATTTTCTTATTACAGTATTTGCTGTCAGACTGCTACACTTTCACAACCTTTGCACATTCTAGTATTATTCAAAAAATAAAATGAATTCCCAGGTAAAGAATGCATCTCAAATTACCATTCTTATCACTGCAACTACAATTTCAAGTACTAAACTGACTTATAAAGAAAATTACCTTGAATTGCCTTTTATTTTCAAGCTCATTAATTCTAATACTAAGCTGCTGGTAGTATATTTTTTTAGGATGCCGTGGCTTCATGCAGACTAGCATATCTTTGAGAGTTCCTTCATAGGTACATCTCACCGGGTTTCCTGGCCCATCTCGGTAGCTGAAAAGTCACAAAAAATTATTATTATTTTTTTTTTTTTTAACTCAATAGCTGTCTCTCACCAAGGCAAGGTGGGCCAAAGAAGAAAACATGTTCACTCCATTGCCATCTTGCCAGAAGTGTGCTGACATCATAATTAACATTAACCTGTAACTGCTACATCCCCGCCCCCTGAATACCTTCATAAGACAACCTATCATTTGTCTACATTCCTTCCTATCTAATATGCTCTCACAAGCCTGCTGAATGCTCAAGCCCCTACAACTCAAAGCCTCCTTTATCCCTTCCCTCCAACTATGTCTATATTATACGCAGCATAATAACACTTATAGCCAAGGAGGATGTGGTGTACTATTACCCAACCCTAATATCATTACATTGTGTATTGTACAGTGCCTAGTGCTATTCATTTATTACTGCCAATAAATTTTAGTTTTTCATTAGAATTAGTAATGGCCAATTTGTTAACTGTATTGTACTATGATTTTAATAAATATCACCACTACATCACTTTTCTCATCATTTCAAAGAAAATTTCATTATTTAACCACCATGGTGCGTTCACTTTGAAGGAGGCATAGTCATCTTACAGTTTAAAGGGTCATTTGAATTCTAATGTCTAAAGACTTCTGGGAAGACAGCAATTTAGATGAGGGTGAATGTTTCCTTCTTTGGGTCAAACTACGTTAGTGTGAAATGGCCAGTGGGGAAAAAATTTACACAGTATTTTTATAATAAACTCTTTTGAAATTAAATATCATTAAATTTGCAAAGAATAATTTTTTAAGAGAAAGACATTCCTGGTGAATCACTAACCTCTGTGACTTGAAAAACTGTAATAGATATGGATCTGTATCTAAACGGTGGGCGACGGCTCTTGCCATCTGATCATAATTCATCCTTTGTGACAATTCCATAATAAACCCAGGGTCTGTTGGAACAGTCTTATCACAGAATGTTACCTGTAAAATATTCATGCAGAAATCAGAAGTAAGAAATATATTTGGGGCGAGCCTATAATTGACAAGGCTATCTATTCACATGGTGTGGCTTGTTAAATGGAAACTATGAATGAAGAGTTTTGGGCACCAATTAACCAGAGATAATTAACAGAACATATTGTAAAGTCTTTAAACTCAAAGCAAATAGAAAACCATCTAATCTACAAAATAATATTTTATAATTTAGTTGCCAAAAAAAAAAAAAAAAAAAAAAAAAAAAAACTAAAATAGAATTTACAGTATTGTTAAAATCCGGAAACAAACACTGACCACTACAAAGGTGATCTAGCTAAAACTACCAATACAACAAGAGATGTGTAGAACATATTTAGTACAGCAGGCCACCATTTTTCATGCTATGTGGCAATAATAGCCAGTATGTTGTGTCACGATTGAAATTTTTGTGTCTTATCACATTTTGTTGTAAAGTGACCATTTTTAGCACCAGTGCCAGATGGAATATTTCTTCTCTTGTGCATCAGGCCTCCACTTTTTTTTTTCTTTTGTGTGCGTGTGTGTGGGGGGGGGGAGACCTAGCATCACTCCTGTGTATAAACAACACCTACCACACTCCAAGTGCTAAGTTACATTATAAACGCATACCAAGCATTTGAATGCATGGATTCAGCCGAGAAAAAAGAAAAGTGCCCCACTAAATTTCCTTATGATAAGGGAAATTATAATTAACCCTTTGACTGTCGCGGCCGTATATATACGTTTACGAGGTACCGTGTTTGACGAATATATACTCATAAATTCTAGCGGCTTCATATCAGCAGGAGGAAAGCTGGGTAGGCCCACATGTGAAGAGAATGGTCGAATTGGTCAGTGGTGCACATATAAAAAAACCCTGTGAGAGCAGAGTGCATAATGAGAAAAAAAAAAAACTCAGACCGTTTTTTAGTAAAATGCCGACTGTGGCTCTATTTTCGTATAGTATTTGTGTTGTATCCGTTTTCTTGGTCTCATTTGACAGAATGGAACTATATTATAGAACGAGGTGATTTTGATTAATTTTACTATAAAAAGAACCTGGAAATGGAGCACAAAGTATGGGAAATGTTTGATTTTTGCCGATGTTCAAAAGTAAACAAATGATGTCACTGTCCAATAAATGTCCAAACAGCCGTTCTAATATGCAGTCATGAATGGGTTGATGTAATTTTTACAATTATTACAGTATTACAGAAGTCTGCATAACAGTAAATCTTCTATTTTTTTGTTTGAATAAAATTTCAAAATAGAAAGCAAGAGTAATATCACAGGGGCCTGCAGACATGACTGATGAACAAAGAAAATGTTATTTTAGAGCCAGGAATGTCTGCATTGTTTATTCTGGTCCTTATTTTGAAATTGTCATATTTTTTAATTTTCGTGAAATTGGCCAAATTGCAAATTTCTGACCACGTTATTGAGTAGTTGAAATCGGTAAATGGGCAGTTTCTTGTACTCAATCGATGGAAAAAAATGGAGTTCTGAAGAAATAGCTATGAGTTTGGTTGACTGGAATAATGGAATTAGCCGAAAATAGGGCTCAAAGTGGGTGAAATCGCCGATTTGTAAATATCGCTGAGGTCGCTAACTTCGTGAGAGTGTAATTCCGTCAGTTTTCCATCAAATTTCGTTTTTTTTGGTGTCTTTACAATCGGGAAAAGATTCTCTATCATTTCATAAGAAAAAAATAATTTTTTTTTTTAAATTTTGTGACACCAGGAGACACCTCAGGATTGGGGGTTGCGACAGTCAAAGGATTAAGTACTAATCCCTAAGGGTCATACTGAGCTGCATAATAAGGAAGAAAGCCCTATTATACTATAAAACTGTGAGAGAGCAGGAAGGAAAGTTGGATGGTTAAACTCTTTTACGTGCCTAGTTATCTGCATGACAAAGTTCAGTGGGAAAAAGTGTATTTGCTGACCACATGGTTGTGGAGGATTTTTCTACTGAACTGCAAGAAATTATTTTTACGGGTGGCTACAAATCAGGTGATGAAACAGAATTATATTGAAGCAGCAGTTATCTAAAATACAATTCAACATTATTTTTTTTATTAACAAATCGGCTCTTTCCCCCCAAGGCAGGGTGACCCAAAAATGAAGAAACACTTTCATCATCGTTCACTCCATCACTGTCTTGCCAGAGGCATGCCTACACTACAGTTAATAAACTGCAACATATCAACATCCCTCCTTCAGAGTGCAGGCACTGCATTTCCCACCTCAAGGACTAAAGCTGGTTTCGATGAATCCCTTCGTAAATGTTACTCTGTTCACACTCCAACAGCACGTCCAGTCATAAAAACCACTTGTCTGCACTCATTGCTATCTATGCATGCTTGCTGGAAGTCCAAGCCCCTCACACAATACCTCCTTTATCCCCTCCCTCCAACCTTTCCTAGGTTGTCCCCTACCTCACTTTCCTTCCATTACAAATTTATACGCTAAGTCACTATATCATTCCAGCCTCTCTAAATGTCTGAACAACCTCAACAACCCCTCCTCAACCTTCTCGATAATACTCTCTGTAACCCTGCACCTCCTCCTAATTTCCGAACTACAGATTCTCTGCATTATATTCACACTTCACATTGCCCTCAGACATCCCCACTGCCTCCAGCCTTCTTGTTGCAACATTCACCACCCATGCTTCACACCCATATAAGAGCATTGGTATAACTATACTCTCATACAATCCCCTCTTTGCTTCCATGGTTAATGCTCTTTGTCTCCACAGATTCTTCAGTGCACCATTCATCATTTTCCACTCATCAATTCTATGATTCATCTAGTCTTTCAAAGACCCATCTGCTGATAAGTCAATTCACTTCCTCCATACTCCTTCCTTCTAATTTGATATCCAATCTTTCATTACCTAAATATTTTACCAACACCTTAGTTTTTCTTATGTTCACTTTTAACCCTTTCACTGTCAGTCCCGTAATATTATGGCTTGCAAGCCAGTGTCGGTCCCACGATACTACGCCAAAATTCTAGTGGCTTCCAATCTTGTGGGAGAAAGCTGGTAGGCCTACATACGAGACAATGGGTCTGAGTGATCAGTGTGCACAGTATAAAAAAAAATCCAGCAGCACACAGTGCATAAAAAAAAACTGACCGTGTTTTTGGTTTAAAACAGCGTTTTTGCAGTGTATTTTCATATGGTATTTATGGTTGTAGTCTCGTTTTCTTGGTCTCATTTGATAGAATGGCAGATATGTTACAGAAATACAGACACTAAAAGTACCTTGAAATTGAGCACAAAGCAGAAATGCTCGATTTTTGATGATGTTCAAGAGTAAACAAATATGTCAAACATCCAATACACGTCAACTGGTGGGTCTCATATGCTTTCACAAATGTGCTGATATTAATTTATACCATTTTTACAATAATGCAGGAGCCTGCATAACAGTAAACATTCTATTTTTAGTGTGAATAAAAATTAAAAATGGAAAGCAAGCATAATGTAAGAGGGGCCTGGAGACATGACTAATGAACAGAGAAAATGTTATTTTAGTGCTAGGAATGTTTGCATTGTTAATTCTGGACCCTATTTTGAAATTGGCCTTCCTTGAATTGTGTATGAAATTGGCCTTCCTTGAATTGTGTATGAAACTGGCCAAATTACCAATTTTTGATCTCTTTATTGGGTAGTTGAAATCGGTAAATGGGCGGGTTCTTGTACTCAATCGATAAAACAAAAAGAGTTCTCATGAAATAGCTATGAGTTTGATCAACTGAAACAATGGAATTGTCCAAAATTGGGCTCAAAGTGGGTGAAATCACCAATACGTAAATATCGCTGAGACTGCTAACTTTGCAAGAGCATAATTCCACAAGTTTCCCATCAAATTTTGTACCTTTGATTTCATTACCATCGGGAAAATATTCTCTATCATTTCATACAATTTTTTTTTTTTTAAATTCTTCAACAATGACAGCAAGTTTCTCAGCAGGGGTCTCAACGGTGAAAGGGTTAATTTCTTTCTTTTACATACCCTACCAAACTTGTCCACCAACCTCTGCACTTCTCCTCAGAATCTCCCAAAAGCAGTATCATCCGCAAAAAGCAACTGTGACAACTCCCACTTTGTGTTTGATTCCTTACCTTTAAATCCCACATGTCTTGCCAACACCCAAGCATTCACTTCTCTTATAACCCCATCTATAAATATACTGAACAACCATAGTGACATCACACATCCCTGTCTTAGGCCTACTCTCTCCTACATACTCTAACCTGAGCCTCACTATCCTTGTAAAAACTCTTCACTGCTTTCAGTAACTTACCTCACATTCTATACATATGCAACATCTGCCACACTGCCCCCATATCCACCCTATCAGTCACATTAACATTTTCCAAATCCATAAATGCAACAAAAAAACCTCTTTATCCTTATCTAAATACTGTTCACCTATATGTTTCTCTGTAAACACTTGGTTTACATACCCCCTATATCATATCTTGTATGCTTATCTTTTTTTTTTTTTTTTATGTATTACCTATGACCAAACCTTATTCTATGCACAGTTCAAAGGCCCCCTCATACCCTCTCTAACCATTTCTCCCACTTTAGCATTTAGGTCCCCTACCACAATTACTCTCTCACTTGGTTCCAAAGTTTCTAAACACTTGCTTAACATCTCCCAAAACCTCTCTCTCTCAACACTTCTCTCTTTCCCAGGTGCATACACATTTATTATAACATTTTTTGCATCTGACTCTTATTTTAATCCAGATAATCCTTGAATTTATGCATTTATATTCCCTCTTCTTCCATAACCGATCCTCAATTACTGCTACCTGGATTTATTGCTTTTATGCAGCAATACATCAATTAATTTTAGGTGTAAAATAACAAGCGCTTTGCTTATTTTGCAAGCTAACCTGAGAGCAATTTAAAAATTAAAATGAAAAAATGTGTTTGGCTTCTTTGGAGTTGTCATGAATGTATCCTAATTTCTCCCTTATATTCTTAATTCCACACATCACGTTTTTATACCTGGTAGACTAAGCAGTCAACCAGAAAACCTGGATACAGGCTGGGCTTTAAACATAAAAGAACCCTCGAAACCAGTCACAGGTACGCACCAGAGGAACACTATGCACCAACAGATACAGTGGAACCTCGGTTTTCATATGCCCTGGTTTTCGTAGGATTCGACTTTCAACGCCTTTTTTTGTCTAAATTTTGTCCCAGTTTTCGTACATCCGCTCGGTTTTCGTAGAGTTGACAATGGTTCGTACCAAACACGTCCGCTTGCCTGTGCCCACACAAAGCATCCCACACGTTTTGACTCAGTCTGGCTTTGTTTCTCTTTGAGTGAGCATTATCCAGCACGTTTGGATAACATTTCGTAATAATCCATTGTTTTTTGTGCTTGTTTATTGAGTGCGACTGCTAAATAAGCCACCATGGGGCCAAAGAAAGTTCCGAGTGCCAGCCCTTTGATAAACAAGGCAAGAAACATGATAGAATTCAAGAAAGAACTCGTAGCAAAGTACGAAAGTGGCGTATTCATGGCCGATCTCGCCAGGATGTAAGGGAAGTCCGTATCAACAATCAGTTCCAAGAAAGATGACGTTGCGAAAGGGGTAAATGTGCTAATGAAACAGAGATCGCAAACAGTCGAAGATGTTGAGTTGTTGTTGTTGGTGTGGATCAATGAAAAACAGTTAGCAGGAGACAGTGTTTCAGAGGCGATAATTTGTGAAAAGGCAAGGCAGTTGCATGCGGATCTCACGAAGAAAATGCCTGGAACGAGTGCTGCTGTTAGTGAATTTAAGGCCAGCAGAGGCTGGTTCGACAAATTCAAGAAGCGAATTGGTATACACAGTGTTGTAAGGCAGGGCGAGGCTGCAAGTTTGGACAAACATGGGGCCGAAGAATTCGTTGATGAATTCAAGAAGTACGTAGAGGCTGAAGGATTCCTCCCCGAGCAAGTCTTCAACTGTGACAAAACAGACCTCTTTTGGAAGAAAATGCCAAAGCGGACCTACATCACACAGGAGGAAAAGGCACTGCCAGGATACAAGCCTATGAAGGATAGGCTAACTCTTCTGTTCTGTGGTAATGCTAATGGGGATTTCAAAGTGAAGCCTTTACTGATGTATCACTGAAAATCCCCCAGTGTTCAAGAAAAACAATGTCATCAAGAGTAAAATGTGTGTGATGTAGAAGGCTAACAATAAGGAATGGGTCATGAGGTGAATTTTCATTGAGGAGGTCAATGAAGTGTTTGGCCTGAGCGCAAAGAAATACCTCCTGGAAAAGCATTTGCCACTCAAGTGCCTCCTGGTAATGGACAATGCTCCTGCTCATCCTCCAGGCTTGGAAGACCAATTGTTGGAGGAGTTTAGTTTCATCACAGTGAAGTTCTTGCCCCCTAATACCACTCCTCTCATCCAGCCCATGGACCAGATGATCATTTCAAACTTCAAAAAACTCCATTTCAATATCCTCAATTGCGTAAGCTTTATAGATAAGGCTTGGCAGGGAGTGGCTTCCAGGACGATGAATTTTGCTTGGAGAAACTGTGGCCGGAATGTGTCCTCGAGAAGGATTTTGAAGTGTCTGGGGCCGACCCTGACGACCCTATGCATACTGTGGAATCTTGTGTCTTTGGCGAAGTCCATGGGGTTGGATGTGAGTGGCCAGGATGTGGAAGAGTTGGTGGATGACCAAAGAGAAGAGCTAACTACTGAAGAGCTGCAAGACCTTCAACTGGAACAGCAATAGACCACAGCTGAGGAAATTGCTTCAGAGGAGGAAGAGAGAGGGGAGAATGTGCCCTCTTCAGTGATTAAGGATGTGTGCAAAATGGAATGAGTTGCAAAGTTTAGTGGAGAAATATCACCCTAACAAAACTGTTGCAAGCCATGTCTGCAACATACTCAATAACAATGCCTTGTCCCATTTTAGGCAAATCTTAGAGACGCCAGAAAGACCTCTCTGGACAGATTTATTGTGCGACAGTAGTACAGTGACTCTCAAGCTGGTCCTAGTGCCAATAAAAGACAAAGGGAAGTAACTCCAGATAGGGTCTTGATACCTTAAGTCCTTATGGAGGGGGATTACCCTTCCGAACAATAACCTCTCCTCCTCCCTCTCCCCTCCTCGCCGTCTTCCATATGCCAACAAGTGTCTTCAATAAAGGTAAAGTTTGGACCTTAAACGGTCCAAACAGATCGACGTTCAAATTCATAGTGCTACAAAAGTAGATCTACTTTTTTTACATATTTTCAAATATAACAAAAAAAAAATGTAGATAAAAGTTTTTTTACACGTTTTCACATGTAAAACAAAAAAAAAAAAAAGATCTAAATTTTTTTACATACTTTCAGATGTTGGAAAAACGTATATATACGTTTGGACCATTTAAGGGTTAAATGTTCATTTATCCATTTCATTAGTCATTTATATTTATTTCTCATTGTTTTCTGTATCGTAAAACTACAGTTATTCTCTATAAAATGTATTTGTTAATATTTCTGGGTGTCTGGAATGGATTAATTAGATTTACGTTATTTCTTACAGGAAATATTGCTTCATTTTTCATACAATTCAGTTTTCATCAGACTTTCTGGAACGAATTAATCACGAAAACTGAGGTTCCACTGTAATGAGTTTAGAGTAAATCACAGAAAAGTCATTAAGTATCTCAACAAACCTCCACCCTGAAGAAGAGGTCCCTAAAGTAATCACGGCAGGACGGAAGCTCAAGGTTGGGATCATCCAGGAGGTCGTCACGCTGGAACACAATGATGTCTCCATCCATCAGCTCATCGAGCACCTAAACAGCAAGAAACACAATTATTCAAAGATGATTAATTAAATTTGTTGGAGGAAAAGATTGAAACAGACTGTTTTCTGAATGACAATCATATGTACGAGCTGTAATGCAACCACATATAGGTGAGCACACATGCCTGCTGGATGCTCTTAAACCCTCATTATACCCTACTTCTAGTCCTCACCTTATACATCTCCTTATCCACCCTAAGTTTATACTCTCACTTGGCCAAATTATCTCCCAGCATTACTTCTCAATGACCAAACCAGCTCAACCCCTTTTTCTTGAATTATACTTTTCAAACCCTTATACAGTCTTTTAATTTGTTCACTTCATATTCTCTGCACAATACTCACACCACACATTAATCTCAGACATGTCTCCATTGTCTTTAGCCTCTTCCTTGCTGCAATATTCAAAATCATTCCTCACACTTATATGCTAATGTTGAGATCACTATACTCTGGTATATTCCCAATTTGGCACACAATAATGACTTCTTTCTTTCCACAGACTTCTCAATACTGCACAAATAACCCGCACATAGGAGAATGGAACATCATCACAAGTTTCAATCTGTGTGAGACTGAAATGTCATCATAAGTTTCAATCTATGTGTGGATTATTCGTGTACTGTTCCAGTCACAGTATTGTGCCTTTTAATTCTTCCTCAATACTATTGCAATTGCTTTTTCTCTGACATTTTCTACTATCTCACATCCTTCTTAAACCCAACTCTTGATATATCTATTGCCTTTTTTTCACTTCTTTCTGCATCTCCTCCTCCAAACTCCTGAAACAATAAAGTTTGGAAGGAAAGGTTGATTTCCTTTTCTTTAATTTTTTGTACATATATTGCACTGATTCTAAGTACTATAAAAAATAATTTGACTTGACTGTCACAACATGTTAAGAACTTTTTCTTAATAAAAAAAAAATATGAATTTTCTTACCACTATATACACTACTGCAGGAGAAACAAGTACAATGCAATGATAATCTTTCCTCATTTACTTATTTTAATGCAAAATTTAAGGATCTTATTTACAAAAAAATTTTTTTATCCAGTCATCTCCACCAAGAAAGGGTGATCCAAAAAATAAAGGAAACACTTTCACCAGTGTTTCCCATTATTCAAGATTTTTTTTTTTTAACACACTGGCCATCTCCCACTGAGGCAGGGTGACCCACAAAGAAAGAAAAAACTTTCATCATCACAACATTTTCAGCATCACTCATATGTAATCACCATCCTTGCAGAGGCACTCAGATACGACAGTTTAAAAGTCCCTCCAAACTGCCAATATCCAGAACACCGCCTTTAAAACTCAGGCATTGTACTTCCCATTTCCAGGACTCAAGTCCGACTAATCGATTTCCCTGAATTCCTCCACAAAATATTAACCTGCTCACACTCCAACAGCTTGTCAGGTCACAAAAACCATTTGTCTCCATTCGCTCTTAACACGCTCACGCACGTTCGCTGGAAGTCCAAGCCCCTCACCCACAAAATCTCCTTTACCCCCTCCCTCCAACCTTTTCGGGGACGACCCCAACCTTGCCTTCCTTCCCCAACAGATTTATATGCTCTCCAAGTCATTCTACTTTGTTCCGTTCTCTCTAAATGACCAAACCACCTCAACACCCCCTCTTTCACCCAAACTCGTCCACTAACATTTGACTTTTGTTGAGACCACCCCAAAAACACAGTACCATCAGCAAAAAGTAACTGTGTCAACTCCCATTTTGTATTTGATTCCCCCACAATTTAATCCTGTCTCTCTCTCCAACACCCTCAAATTAACTTCTTTTACAACCCCATCTATAAATATGTTAAACAATCATGGTGATATTACACATCCCTGTCTAAACCTATTTTTACTGAGAAGTAATCTCCTTCTCTCCTACACACCCTAACCTGAGCCACATTATCCTCATAAAAACTCTTTACAGTATTTATTAACTTACTACCTATTCCATACACTTCCAACATCTGCCACACTGCTCCCCTATCCACTATCATGTGCCTTTTCTAAATCCATAAATGCAATGAAAACTTCCCTACCTTTATCCAAATACTGTTCACATATATGCTTCAATGTAAACACTTGATCTACACATCCACTTCCCACTCTTAAGCCTCCTTGCTCATCTGCAATCCTACTCTCTGTCTTACCTCTAATTCTTTCAATAATAACCCTACCATACACTTTACTTGATATATTCAATAAACCTATTCCCCTATAATTTTTACAATCTCTTTTGTCCCCCTTCCCTTTATATAAAGGAATTATACACACTCTCTGCCAATCTCTAGGTACCTTCCCCTCTTTCATACTTTCTTTTTTTTTAACACGTCAACTGTTTCCTACCGAGGCAGGGTGACCCAAAAAGAAAAAAAACTTTCATCATTCAACACTCACCATCCCTCAGACATAATCACTGTCTTTGCAGAAGCGCTCAGATACGACAGTTCAGATGTCCCTCTAAACTGCCAATATCCTAAATCCCTCCTAAAAAGTGCAGGCACTGTACTTCCCGTTTCCAGCACTCAAGTCCAGCTAACTGGTTCCCCCGAATCCCTTCACAAAATATTACCCTCTACCAACCACTCCAACACTATATCTCTCCCTGCTTTTAACAATTCTGTCATGATCCCATCAGTTCCAGCAGCTTTACCCTATTTTGTTCTACGTAATGCCTCATGCACCTCCCCCACACTCACACCTTGCTCTTCTTCACTCCTAAAAGATGTTATACCTCCCTGGCCAGTGCATGAAATTACTGCCTCCCTTTCTTCATCGACATTTAAAAGTTCCTCAACATATCCCCGCCATCTTCCCAATACTTCCAGCTCCCCAAATACTAACTCCCTACTCTGTTTTTAACTGACAAATCCATTCATTCCCCAGGCTTTCTTAACTTGTTTATTTCACTCCAAATTTTTTTCTTATTCTCAGTAAAATTTCTTGACAGTGCCTCTTCCACTCTATCATTTGCTCTCCTTTTGCACTCTCACCACTCTCTTCACCTTTCTTTTACTCTCCATATACTCTGCCCTTCTTATATCACTTCTGCTTTGTAAAACCCTCTCATAAGCTACCTTTTTCTCTTATTGCACCCTTTACCTCATCATTCCACCAACCACTTCTCTTTCATCCTGCACCCACCCTCCTATAGCCATAAACTTCTGCTCCACATTCTAATACTGCATTTTTTAAATTATCCCATCCTTCTTCAACCCCACCCCCCACTACCCATACTTGCACTAGCCCACCATTCTGCCAATAGCTGCTTATATCTCATCTAACTTCCTCCTCCCTTAGTTTATAAACTTTCACCTCTCTCTTACTTACTGTTGCTATTTTCATTTTGTCCCATCTACCTCTTACTCTAACTGTAGCTACAACTAAATACTAATGAAATGATATATCTGTACCCCTCTATAAACATGTACATCCTGAAGCCTACCCATCAACCTTTTATCCACCAATACATAATCAAACAAACTACTTTCATTACATGCTATATCATATCTTGTATACTTATTTATCCTCTTTTTCATAGAATATTTATTACCTATTACCAAACCTCTTTCTACACAGTTCAAGTAAAGGCTCCCCATTTTCATTTACACCTTGAACCCCAAATTTACCTACTACTCCCTCTACAACATTTTTACCCACTCTAGCATTGAGATTCCCAAATACAAGTACTCTCTCACTTGGTTCAAAACTCCCCATGCACTCACTCAACATTTCCCAAAATCTTTCTCTCTCTCTCTTCTCTACACTTCTGTCTTCTCCAGGTGCATAAATTCTTACTGTAACCTACATTTCACATCCAACCCTCATCAAAAGTGTGTAGATATCACATCAAATGACTCTTAGAACTGTGACATTCCCACACCTGTCTGTAAAACCAGTCAACAAAAAAATATACACCTTATAAAAATTGAATTTTTACTAATAAAGATCCTTACCTTTTCTAATGGTCGGTCAAGATCGGCCAGCCGCTCTACCAGATTAGGCTTGATCTCTTCAAAGAGTGCTAATTCTGTGCCTTGAGGCAGTCCTGCACGCTCATTCAACAGAGGTACCAACTCTTCTGCACAAATTATAGCAAAAAAGTATCAACAAAAGATGTTGGTCATGTAAAACTACAGGCAATTTACATAGTTATTTCTAACATCCTATTTACATTAAGAACCTTCCCTAATGTAGGAACCTCACATATAGTAACCCCTTGCAAAATTCACTTAATTTTGCTTTGTGACAAATGATAAAAGGCACTACTTGACAGAAAAGAATAAGAGCCATCATAGCCAAAATCTGGGCAAATGAATGAATCTATTCCTTATATGTAGGGCCCCACTTTATGGCGTCTCGCCTTACGGCATTCCACTAATACAGCGATGTCAAGTGGGTTTTGTGGGTAAGGGGCTTGGACTTCCAGCAAGCGTGCGTGAGCGTGTTAGATAGGAGTGAATGGAGACGAATGATACTTGGGACCTGACGATCTGTTGGAGTGTGAGCAGGGTAATATTTAGTGAAGGGATTCAGGGAAACCGGTTATTTTCATATAGTCGGACTTGAGTCCTGGAAATGGGAAGTACAATGCCTGCACTTTAAAGGAGGGGTTTGGGATATTGGCAGTTTGGAGGGATATGTTGTGTATCTTTATATGTGTATGCTTCTAGACTGTTGTATTCTGAGCACCTCTGCAAAAACAGTGATAATGTGCGAGTGTGGTGAAAGTGTTGAATGATGATGAAAGTATTTTCTTTTTGGGGATTTTCTTTCTTTTTTGGGTCACCCTGCCTCGGTGGGAGACGGCCGACTTGAAAAAAAAAAAAAAAAAAAAAAAAAAATTTGCTATACGGCAAGCGGTCTTTCAAATACTGCTCACCCCACTCGGTTTGTTTACATTCTCCGTGGCCACATCTATTATGTCCGGAAACTTTCAAGTGTTTTACAGTTATTGCATATTTATATGTACTCTGATAATAATACTTATGTGTACCTGTACCTAAATATACTTACACACTGTGCTGGTGTGCAGGTACACATTAAAATCGCTAAGTCTCTCTCCGCTCATGACGTCAATAGTAAGTAATAATTATCACTCTTGGGCACATAAAATGTCTTATTTTACATTAATATAGACATTTTTATTAATCCATCTATGATATTTTCCTCAAAATTGTATGAGAAACACATTACATAGCATATACAGTATACATACACTCACAGAATAAAAATTGACATAAATATGAGATTTGTTTACAGAGCGGCTGTGTAGGTAGTGTCGGAAGAATTACGTTTTCTCTAGTCAAACACTGGGGGATAACTGTAGAAAAATATTCCTTTCGTATGCCTTCACTCTATATATAGCAATTCACGACCCTTGTGGGTTTAGCGCTTTTTTATGATGATAATAATATCATCATCTTCATTCACTCTAAAAATGGTGTGTTGCATGAGAATGGGAGTGTTGCTGTTTGTTTATTCTGTACTAATTTGTACAACTTGTACACAGTTTACGAGTATTTGTATTGTGAGGTAAAAGTTTTACAAACTCTTACAAACGTACGTTAATGAACTAAAAGCAGACATATTAATACACATTTATTTCGCCTGACCAAGTGATCGCCCATTACCTGTTCAGTTTGTGTTCTTACATTGTCTGAATTCTGTATCTCATTCTCTCTCTCTCGTTTACTCTTTCGTTAACTAGTTGGCTCTCACTGACGATGGCGTCTAAGTTTAGCTGTGATAAAAAGAGGAGTCGTAAGCCTCTTGCTTAAAGTGCCAAGTTAAGAGGATGATGGTGTGCCATTCTGATTTTATTCAATAAACACCCTGCCACTTACCTCTCACACATAAATATTTTAAGGTACGTAATAAGTGTACTCTGTGTGTACCTTATCTTTTATTGTGTTTTTAATGCCTATTTCTATTGCTAACTTAATATAAGTTAGTGTAAACTTACTGTCTGGCATTTACTGCATAATTTATATGTTTTTTTTTCAACAAGTCGGCCGTCTCCCACCGAGGCAGGGTGACCCAAAAAAAGAAAGAAAATCCCCAAAAAGAAAATACTTTCATCATCCTTCAACACTTTCACCACACTCACACATTATCACTGCTTTTGCAGAGGTGCTCAGAATACAACAGTTCAGAAGCATATACATAAAAAGATACACAACATATCCCTCCAAACTGCCAATATCCCAAACCCCTCCTTTAAAGTGCAGGCATTGTACTTCCCATTTCCAGGACTCAAGTCTGACTATATGAAAATAACCGGTTTCCCTGAATCCCTTCACTAAATATTACCCTGCTCACACTCCAACAGATCGTCAGGCCCCAAGTATCATTCGCCTCCATTCACTCCTATCTAACACGCTCATGCACGCTTGCTGGAAGTCCAAGCCCCTAGCCCACAAAACCTCCTTTACCCCCTCTTTCCAACCCTTTCGAGGACGACCCCTACCCCTCCTTCCTTCCCCTATAGATTTATATGCTTTCCATGTCATTCTATTTTGATCCATTCTCTCTAAATGACCAAACCACCTCAACAACCCCTCTTCTGCCCTCTGACTAATGCTTTTATTAACTCCACACTTCTCCTAATTTCCACACTCCGAATTTTCTGCATAATATTTACACCACACATTGCCCTTAGACAGGACATCTCCACTGCCTCCAACCGTCTCCTCGCTGCTGCATTTACCACCCAAGCTTCACATCCATATAAGAGTGTTGGTACTACTATACTTTCATACATTCCCTTCTTTGCCTCCATAGATAACGTTTTTTGACTCCACATATACCTCAACGCACCACTCACCTTTTTTCCCTCATCAATTCTATGATTAACCTCATCCTTCATAAATCCATCCGCCGACACGTCAACTCCCAAGTATCTGAAAACATTCACTTCTTCCATACTCCTCCTCCCCAATTTGATATCCAATTTTTCTTTATCTAAATCATTTGATACCCTCATCACCTTACTCTTTTCTATGTTCACTTTCAACTTTCTACCTTTACACACATTCTCAAACTCATCCACTAACCTTTGCAATATTTCTTTAGAATCTCCCATAAGCACAGTATCATCAGCAAAAAGTAACTGTCAATTCCCATTTTGAATTTGATTCCCCATAATTTAATCCCACCCCTCTCCCGAACACCCTAGCATTTACTTCTTTTACAACCCCATCTATAAATATATTAAACAACCATGGTGACATTACACATCCCTGTCTAAGACCTACTTTTACCGGGAAGTATTCTCCCTCTCTTCTACACACCCTAACCTGAGCCTCACTATCCTCATAAAAACTCTTTACAGCATTTAGTAACTTACCACCTATTCCATATACTTGCAATATCTGCCACATTGCTCCTCTATCCACTCTATCATATGCCTTTTCTAAATCCATAAATGCAATAAAAACTTCCCTACCTTTATCTAAATACTGTTCACATATATGCTTCAATGTAAACACTTGATCTACACATCCCCTACCCACTCTGAAGCCTCCCTGCTCATCCGCAATCCTACATTCTGTCTTACCTCTAATTCTTTCAATTATAACCCTACCGTATACTTTTCCTGGTATACTCAGTAAACTTATTCCTCTATAATTTTTACAATCTCTTTTGTCCCCTTTTCCTTTATATAAAGGGACTATACATGCTCTCCGCCAATCCCTAGGTACCTTCCCCTCTTTCATACATTTATTAAACAAAAGTACCAACCACTCCAACACTATATCCCCCCTGCTTTTAACATTTCTGTCATGATCCCATCAGTTCCAGCTGCTTTATCCCCTTTCATTCTACGTAATGCCTCACGTACCTCCACCACACTTACATTCTGCTCTTCTTCACTCCTAAAAGATGGTATACCTCCCTGGCCAGTGCATGAAATTACCGCCTCCCTTTCTTCCTTAACATTTAAAAGTTCCTCAAAATATTCTCGCCAACTACCTAATACCTCCCTCTCCCCATCTACTACTCCCCTACTCTGTTTTTAACTGACAAATCCATACTGATAATAATACTCTGATAATAATACTTGTGGATCTGTGTGGTAGCCGGGCAGTGGGATAACATTACGTTTTCTCTGGTCAGGCACCAGAAAAAATGTGTACGAATCTGCGTTTGGCCCAGCCACTCCCCCACTCCGCTTTTGTTTACAATTTTTGGCATGAATTATTCATTACTTCTCCCTTTGTTTATGATGGCATCTAAAGGTAGTTGTTAGAAATGATTAAATTCAGTGAACAAGGTGTTGTGTTGTTGTTGTTTGTCCGTCGATTCAACGAGGACGAGTACCTACACTGACTTCCTACAAATAAATACTACTCACCTTTCTTCCTACATTAAGACTACACATATTTTAAGGTAAATAGTGGACCAATTACTGTTTGGAAGGGAAATCCCCCTCCATAAGGACTTCAGGTATCAAAGCCCTCTCTGGAGTTACTTCTCTGCCTGCCTGCTACACTCCCTGCCTGCCTGCTACACTCCCTGCCTACCTGCTACACTCCCTGCCTGCCTGCTACACTCCCTGCCTACCTGCTACACTCCCTGCCTGCCTGCCTGCTACACTCCCTGCCTGCCTGCTACACTCCCTGCCTGCCTTCCACACTCCCTGTTTCCCTGCTACACTCCCTGCATGCCTGCTACACTTCTTGCATGCCTGCTACACTTTCTGCATGCCTGCTACACTCCCTGTATACCTGCTACACACCCTGCCTGCCTTCCACACTCCCTGTTTCCCTGCCTGCCTGCTACACTCCCTGCCCATGGTGGCTTATTTCACAGTCGCACTTAATAAACAAGCCACATCAGCTTCCTTGATTTCTTCTTTCTTTGCCAGGATAAAAGTGATTGTTGATTTTTGTCATATATCCCATGGTGATTTATTTCACAGTCGCACTTAATAAAAAACCAACAAAAAAATGGATTTTAAGGAAATGTTTGAATGAATGCATGAAGTATATGCTCACTCGCCGACAGACAAAGGAAGACTGACTCGCCTATGTGCGGCATCCTGCTGGGAGGTAGGCTGACATGCGTCTAATATGGCCAATAAATGAAGCAACGGCCAAAATATAGAACAAAATTTCTGCCAAAAACAAGTCTAAATACAAAATGGCCAATAAATGCAGCAGGTGAAAAACGAGGTTCCACTGTACTTGTGTGGCCTACTCACTCATACCTTTTAGTTTTTCTTATTAGGTCCACAGAACAAAAACCCTGTGCAATTTTAAGGTCAAGTTACTTACGGACATTAAAGGAGATGTGCATGTAGTGGTGTCCACAGTAGTGTAACCGCTTATGGCGTGGGTCATAATACTTGAAGAAAAGTAGAACATCTGAATCCTTGTCGAATGCCGTCAGGGCCTTTAACCCTGAATCTGGAGACACTGTCTCAATGAACACTGTCCAAGGATTAGCATTATCACTAATCTGAGAAAAGAAAAATTTAACAATGTAAGTAATCCACTGGTTGTTCTCTATTAGTCTATATCTTAAACTGTTTTAACCAGCAAAACCATATTCACATAGTCTTAAAAAGTGAAACTACTTGGCAGCAACTCGATATATAACTGGCTCTCCAAATTATGTTGAAGGAATCTGGTACTGTATTAGGATATATACTAAACATGTGTGTGTATACTTTCAAGACATTATAAGCAAATAAAAAATAATAATTAGCAACTGTGAAGTGTTAAAGGACTTTGGGAGGATAAATTCAGAATTTGCCAAACTTTTTTCAATATATTAATGTGTAATATAGATTTCTTTAGAAGATATAACATGGAGGAGGGTAGGAGAAACAACATATGAAGATCACATGTTCTAGATATCTATGGGCATGACTTAGTCCTAAAACCAATAAATTCTAAATATAGTTAAGTAAGCATTTACACCTGACACCTTATTTTTCTCCAAAATATAAGAGATCTCCCAGCACAAAATAACTATAATCAACAAACCTCAAGTAAAGGTTTATGAAGATCAGTTTCAAGGTCTAGGAGTGTGGGTCTGTTTGTTTGATTTGTCCGGAGATTTAGTGGCCATGGTCGAATTTGCTCGACGGGGTACTTCTAAAAATCAATTAAAAGATTTATTATTTTAATGCATTCTCAAATTACCACTACAGCAAAAAACAAGTAAATCTCTCATGAAAAAATATTGATGAATAAATGACTTTCCTTATATATTAAGACCTTACAGAAGAATAAAAAAAGCATGTAATAAGTCATAAACTTGAGTGCCAAATAAAATCTATATTTTTCCATATTAAACTTTTCCAATCTCCTCCATGAATCTTATAGTCTATGAGAATATTACCTAGTAACACTGGAGCATTTTAAATAGATAGATTATTAGACTTGAGACTGTAATTTGGCTCCCAAATTGGTTTAGCTCAGTTTCACAAACTTGTTCAGGGAACCAAATTATGTTCTACATATATAACACTTAATATCTGCATCTTAAAACTTGCCACCCACTGACATTATGCCTCAGCTCAATTGTTTAAGTGCTCTACTACCTTCTCTCAATCAAGAAAAAATATAAGACGATGCAGGTCCATGCAGTGCATCATGGGTAACAGTGCTTCTTTAATATGTTTGTTAACAAGGTATGTCACAACCTGTAATTGTTTTACATGATGGTAGGATTGCTGGTGTCTTTTTTCTATCTCATAAATATGCAGGATAACAACTGTGTCTTACTAGTTCTACTTACACTTAGGTCACATTACATATGCATGTTTATTTTTTTTTTTTATTTATTATCACACTGGCCGATTCCCACCAAGGCAGGGTGGCCCGAAAAAGAAAAACTTTCACCATCATTCACTCCATCACTGTCTTACCAGAAGGGTGCTTTACACTACAGTTTTTAAACTGCAACATTAACACCCCTCCTTCAGAGTGCAGGCACTGTACTTCCCATCTCCAGGACTCAAGTCCGGCCTGCCGGTTTCCCTGAATCCCTTCATAAATGTTACTTTGCTCACACTCCAACAGCACGTCAAGTATTAAAAACCATTTGTCTCCATTCACTCCTATCAAACACGCTCACGCATGCCTGCTGGAAGTCCAAGCCCCTCGCACACAAAACCTCCTTTACCCCCTCCCTCCAACCCTTCCTAGGCCGACCCCTACCCCGCCTTCCTTCCACTACAGAATGATACACTCTTGAAGTCATTCTGTTTCGCTCCATTCTCTCTACATGTCCCACACATGCATGTACACACACATATACACATACACACATCCAACTGGGTTTTCTTTATTTTCTTAATAGTTCTTGTTCTTTATTTCCTTTTATCTCTATGGGGAAGTGGAAAAGAATTCTTCCTCCAAAAGTCAAGCGTATTGTATGAGGCAACTGAAATGTTGGGAGCAAGGGGTTAGTAACCCCTTCCCTTTGATAAATTATTAAAAAAAAAAAAAAAAAAAAAAAAAAAAAAAAAAAAAAAAAAAAAAAAAAAAGCTTTTCTTTTTATGTCACCCTGCCTCGGTGGGATATGGCTGGTGTTAAAAAAAGAAAAAACACTGTCATATGATATTCTGTGTCTATGTGACAATTCCATGTTTCGAGGCATATACGTAATGCCTTGAAACAATCATATCACAGTATAAAAATTACTTGGAAATAGTGTCTTGAGGGCACACACTTAATGGGTTCATAAAAAGTACTACTAGAGAACAAATGGATTTGTCAGTTAAAAATAGGAGAGGAGAGTTATTAAATGGAGAGTTAGAGGTACTGGGAAGATGGAGAGAATATTTTGAGGAATTGTTAAATGTTGATGAAGATAGGGAAGCTGTGATTTCGTGTATAGGGCAAGGAGGAATAACATCTTGTAGGAGTGAGGAAGAGCCAGTTGTGAGTGTGGGGGAAGTTCGTAAGGCAGTAGGTAAAATGAAAGAGGGTAAGGCAGCCGGGATTGATGGGATAAAGATAGAAATGTTAAAAGCAGGTGGGGATATAGTTTTGGAGTGGTTGGTGCAATTATTTAATAAATGTATGGAAGAAGGTAAGGTACCTAGGGATTGGCAGAGAGCATGCATAGTTCCTTTGTATAAAGGCAAAGGGGACAAAAGAGAGTGCAAAAATTATAGGGGGAGAAGTCTGTTGAGTATACCTGGTAAAGTGTATGGTAGAGTTATTATTGAAAGAATTAAGAGTAAGACGGAGAATAGGATAGCAGATGAACAAGGAGGCTTTAAAAAAGGTAGGGAGTGTGTTGACCAGGTGTTTACAGTGAAACATATAAGTGAACAGTATTTAGATAAGGCTAAAGAGGTCTTTGTGGCATTTATGGATTTGGAAAAGGCATATGACAGGGTGGATAGGGGGGCAATGTGGCAGATGTTGCAGGTGTATGGTGTAGGAGGTAGGTTACTGAAAGCAGTGAAGAGTTTTTACGAGGATAGTGAGGCTCAAGTTAGAGTATGTAGGAAAGAGGGAAGTTATTTCCCAGTAAAAGTAGGCCTTAGACAAGGATGTGTGATGTCACCGTGGTTGTTTAATATATTTATAGATGGGGTTGTAAGAGAAGTAAATGCGAGGGTCTTGGCAAGAGGCGTGGAGTTAAAGGATAAAGAATCACACATAAAGTGGGAGTTGTCACAGTTGCTCTTTGCTGATGACACTGTGCTCTTGGGAGATTCTGAAGAGAAGTTGCAGAGATTGGTGGATGAATTTGGTAGGGTGTGCAAAAGAAGAAAATTAAAAGTGAATACAGGAAAGAGTAAGGTTACGAGGATAACAAAAAGATTAGGTGATGAAAGATTGGATATCAGATTGGAGGGAGAGAGTATGGAGGAGGTGAATGTATTCAGATATTTGGGAGTGGACGTGTCAGTGGATGGTCTATGAAAGATGGGGTGAATCATAGAACTGATGAGGGGAAAAGGGTGAGTGGTGCACTTAGGAGTCTGTGGAGATAAAGAACTTTGTCCTTGGAGGCAAAGAGGAGAAATATGAGAGTATAGTTTTACCAACGCTCTTATATGGGTGTGAAGCATGGGTGATGAATGTTGCAGCGAGGAGAAGGCTGGAGGCAGTGGAGATGTCATGTCTGAGGGCAATGTGTGGTGTGAATATAATGCAGAGAATTCGTAGTTTGGAAGTTAGGAGGAGGTGCGGGATTACCAAAACTGTTGTCCAGAGGGCTGAGGAAGGGTTGTTGAGGTGGTTTGGACATGTAGAGAGAATGGAGCGAAACAGAGTGACTTCAAGAGTGTATCAGTCTGTAGTGGAAGGAAGGCGGGGTAGGGTCGGCCTAGGAAAGGTTGGAGGGAGGGGGTAAAGGAGGGTTTGTGTGCGAGGGGCTTGGACTTCCAGCAGGCATGTGTGAGCATGTTTGATAGGAGTGAATGGAGACAAATGGTTTTTAATACTTGACGTGCTGTTGGAGTGTGAGCAAAGTAACATTTATGAAGGGGTTCAGGGAAACCGGCAGGCCGGACTTGAGTCCTGGAGATGGGAAAGTACAGTGCCTGCACTTTGAAGGAGGGGTGTTAATGTTGCAGTTTAAAAACTGTAGTGCAAAGCACCCTTCTGGCAAGACAGTGATGGAGTGAATGATGGTGAAAGTTTTTCTTTTTCAGGCCACCCTGCCTTGGTGGGAATCGGCCAGTGTGATAATAAAAAAAAAAATAATAAAAAGTACTACAGGTCTAACCCAATAAAATCAAACAGTGTGACTAATTTCCATGTTTTGAGGGGTATAACACCTTGAAACCATTGTAATACCACGGGATTTCCTTGCACAGTGTTAGAAGAGGGAAGTGATCATAAGAAATAAGTACAATTATTTGGGCCAATTCATATTATATATAGTATTTCATGTGGGGCTATGTTAAGATACGCTTCTCCCCTAAGTTCACAGGTAATGAAAACCTTGAAGTCATCTAATATTTTGCATAATCTTAGACATCAAAAAAAATTTCTTTGATAAACTAGCCTAATTTAGCATAAATGATATGGAAAATGTATGTGCTGTTGGAGTGTGAGCATTTTAGGTGGTGGTATGGGCTCAAAGTATTATCCAGAGGGCAGAGGGAATGTTGCTGAGGTGGTTTGGACACTCAGAGGATGGTACAAAACAAAGACTTAGAAGACATAAATCTGTAACTTAATGAAGGAGGGGTAGGGGTCGTCCTAGGAAAAGCTGGAGGGGGTAAAGGAAGTTTTGCTTGCAAGGAACTTGGACTTTCAGCAAGGGTGTATGAACATGTTAGACAGGAACAAGTGGAGACGAATGGTTTTTATGACTTGACATACTGTTGGAGTGTGAGCAAAGTAACATTTATGAAGAGATTAGCCTGACTTGAGTCCTGAAGGTGGGAAATACAGTGCCTGCACTCTGAAGAAGGGGTGTTGACGTGTTGCAGTTTTTTAACTGTAGTGTAAGCATGCCTCTGGCAAGAGTGATGTAGTGAATAAGGGTTTCTTCTTTTATGGGTCGTTCTTCCTCGGTGGGAAACAGCAGACGTGTTAGTAATAAAAAAAAAATTCAGGAAACCTTTTCAGCCAGACTTTAGTCTATAGTCTGGAACATTATTCACTTATGCTAACATAGCAGTTACCCCATGATGCACTGCAGGGACCCATCTGGTATTTGATTTTTTTCAAAAAAAAAAACGAAGAGGTCGTAATTAGTCAATAACCTGAACCTTCTCCTATGTAGGATACACCAGCATTTGAAGTTCAAAGCCAAGCAGAAGAGGCTCTTTTAAGTTATCAAATCGAAATCAAAATCAGGAATATTTTTATAAAACTGACAAAAGCATTTTCCCATCCCAATATACTTGCAGGAACTGTTCTCTATTTATAATTCATTAGCAATGAAAATTTGAAGCTCATCAGATTTGGCATTCTTGAGTAATAACAAAAACCTTAGAGGAAAAAAAATCCTGTCGGGATATACTACAGTGGAACCTCAGCACTAGAAATTAACTGGTTCCAGAAGGCTGTTCGAGTGCTGATCTGAGTACAGAATGAATTTTTCCCAACCAATTTTCTTTCTGGTTGACTGTTATCACTAAATATGAAAAAGTTTACAGCGAAGTTCTGGCAGGTT